AACTTGCGTGTATGCCCGACGGAGTGTGTATCCGGCTATGTGACGCCCGAGGTGGGTAAGGAGAGTTGCTATGTTATACTATTTATGTGACAATGAAATTGTAAGTTTAATAAATAACTAAGAAACTTTACAATACTAGTACTAATAAATATACAGGTGTGCTTTGTAGAATTAATCTTATTCCGGAACGATTTCTTATAATTTTTTTACTGGATTTCAGACTTTAACTTCCTCTTCAACTTATTTATATTTAAATTTTTTTGCATCAATGATGTAAGAGTCATACAAAAAGAATACTTTTTAAACCACCCTGGCAATATCTAGTGCTCATGCTCCCGTTTCGTATGCGTGTGAAATCGGAAGTGGATGCCAACCCTCCTCCACGTTCCCATCCCTCGCCGCCATCGCAACTCCTGAGTGTCCCCGAGTCCTGGGTGGAACATCTTCGAGCGGTAGTCTCCGGGTTGGGTTCCTTTGGCTGGGCGACAGGTGCTTCCGCATTTGAATGTCAACGGAAACCGCAACGGTACAACTTAGATAAACGTTTGCTCTTTAAATATGTGCGCAATGGCGTCGGAAAGGGGACGGGGCCAGGCGGGGAATGGAAACTGTCCCCATGTTTGAGCAACTGAACTTATGTGTAAGGCAAGTGCTACATGCGAAGTGGTTGCGGCTTGCAGAACGGGCGGGAGGAGCGAGGAGTGGGTGCAAGCCATGTATGACAGGTGTATGCTTGGATAGATCTTGGCTTAGCTTATTGCTTACTCTCCAGATATACGTACTTTACGTGTTCCGTACACTGACTGTGCGTGAGGGAAGGTAAAGTGCCAAGGTGTTTGCCTTTGCAGCAGCTCTGTGAAATTGATTATGGGGAAATTGAGATGGATAAGCAAAGACGGTGTCGAAGTCAGCAGGGAAGGCTAACATAAGGTAGCTGTTGAGGCCATTGATACAACCACAGAATATCAGGGATATAGTGCATGTAAAATCAAGATCCAGGCTTTATTATAATTTTAGAATAATTTATATTTACCAAATATTGGATCACTTTTTGTTGCTGCTTTTTCTCTCAATTCTTTCGTAAGTTTTTAGTTAGTTAATACTGTAATTATTCATGAAATTAACTTTACCAACTTCACTGTTCAGGTAATATTTAATATATAATAAAAATATTGCCTCGGAAAACAGAAGGTATGGTGTACATGCGTGTGTGGCTTATGGGCGACTTATTATGAATATTAAATTTTACATTCCTGACAAGTTGATCCATCACAAAAAGCATTACATGCTCGCAGCAATGTATATGAAATTATTCACAAAAATATTGTATCAGCCCGTTGATTGAATTATGCTTATCGGCTAAATGGGATTCCTGAATCGAAAGCCCTGTCCTTTCTGTTTTGTTGCTGTGGCTTCTGACCATGCATCATTGACAGTTTCAAAAAAAAAAAAATCAAATTAAGTTTAAAATCAATTTTCATTCAATTTAGGCAAATACCAAACAAATTAAATCACGCCCGAATAAATCGCCAAGCACCTGAGTGACTGGCCAAAAAAAAACCACTCCATGCTAAATGGTAAAAATAAAATCAATTAACAATAAATGCAAGCAATTAAATTCAATGCTGCGAGAGGGTGGAGAGAGGAGAGGTAAGGAAATGTTTGCCACAGATAAAAACAGGCCACTTAATTAAGCCAAAAGGGTGTGAGGGACTTTGGGGGCGGAGGAGAGAGTGTGTGCTTTCCGACCCACTTCTACACTGGCCGGCATGTTTAAGTGCGAAACAATGTAATTTCATGGTAATCAGTCGGGGACCTGGCCGGCATCTAATGCCATTCCGGCAATAGCAACACAACTACACAAATTTCCGGCTGTGTGCACAAAGCCAGTGGGAACCGATGGAAAAGATGGAAAAGGGCCAAACCGAAGCTGAGCACTTGGGCCAGAAAAATGTCAGTTTGCAATTTTCTATGCCATTTAAAATAAATGAAAATTGCTCTTCATTCCCCTTCTGGCTTTTCTTTTTATACCCTTGCAGGGTATTATAATTTCAGTCAGAAGTTTGCAACGCAGTGAAGGAGGCACCTCCGACTATATAAAGTATATATATTCTTGATCAGGATCAACAGCCGAGTCGATCTAGCCATGTCCGTCTGTCCGTCTGTCCGTCTGTCCTTCTGTCCGTCTGTCCGTCTGTCCGTCTGTCCGTTTCTACGCAAACTAGTCTCTCAGTTTTGAAGCTATCTGAATGAAACTTTGTAGTTAGCCTTCTATATACTCTCACTCGTATATATGTCGGAACGGGCCGGATCGGACGACTATAGCATATAGCTGCCATAGGAATGATAGTAAAATTTTTACAAAAAATTTTTAACTTTTTCAGTTTTCAATAGAATTAGATCAAATTTAAGATATAGCCATTTTACTATACTCTACAATTTTGTGTAAAATTTTATGAAAATCGGACTACTATATCATATAGCTCCCATAGGAACGATCGAGAAATTAATACAATTAAATTTATAACTTTTTCAGTTTTCAGCTGATTTTTATCAAATTTAAGGTATAGCTATTTTATATTAGTCTTAAATTTTGTGTCAAATTTTATGAAAATCGGACGACTATATCTTATAGGTGCCATACAAACGATCGTTTGATGTAGAGGAAAAATGCAAATCTGTGTAGGTAAACCGGAAATATAATATGTATAGGTGAATGAAATGAAAGCAGCTATTACTTCATTGTTTTTTAACACAAATATATATAATTTATATTGTATGGATTCCTATTCATAGAAGTTCTATCTGCAAGGGTATATAAACTTCGGCGTGCCGAAGTAAGCTTTCTTTCTTGTTTTTTTTTGCTTTTGGTTATTTTTGGGTGTGGCATACTTTGGGCCAGCGCGTGTTAACGTAAATAAATTACACACACGTGCACTTGGAAAAATACCTTAACTAAACCTAATATATAACTTTAGAAAGAGTCAATTGATAAATTCATAAAGTTCTTAAAAATTAAACTAATCTTGGATAGGAATAATAGGAAATTGGTAAACTACACATTCTGTATACTAAACATTGTCTATGAGATGAAACTTCTTAGAACAAAGCAGCTCATAAAGTGTCCTTAAGGACATGAGAGGTTTTAGTTTTTATAGAGGCGATGAAGGCAGTCTTCACTATACTTAATTCTTAAGAAGTATATCTATAAATATATACCATCCTTTAAAGAGTTACAATGAATCCAGATCATATTTCTCAATATATATATTTCTTCACACCTTTTCTATAGATTTCATGTGCGATTTCTATGGCCCCTCGTCTCAAGTCTCATCCTTCTTAACCCATTTTTTTCTCGAGTGTGAAGAGAGTGAGCGCGGGACACAGATACGCAATCAAGTGGTCAGTGGCATGCAGCTTATAAATCAGCGCCAGCCGCTTGGGCGCAACATCAGCAAACATTTGGAGGATAGATGACCCAGGCATCGCGACCCGCATTGCGATGGACAGCTGAACGAATGACCGAGTGAGTGGATGGCCGAATGACTGAATGAATAGATTGAGCGGGCCAGCAGCTCCGGATAGATTGCTTGTATAAATGTTCAGCTATTTAGTTTCGGTTTGCTGTGGTTTGACTTTGCTTGTTTTTCCTGGTCCCCATCCTCATACCCCATCACCATCCCCATCACCGTTCCTAGGATTTTTTGTTGCCATTCGGGGGACAAAGTTGATATTGCGCTTTTGTGTTTTAATGTTGTTTCTGGGACAATTGTCGGTCCGGCGAGAGCCGTGCGTCCTAGTTGGTTAGCTGAATCATTTTGTTTGACAAATTGCAGAGCAATTAAGAATTAACTACCATCTGGTTAGGCCAAGCCCGGGGACATAAGCCGCTTTAAGAGCGCTCCTGGTTTGGTTTTGGGTTTGGGTAGAATGCTGATAAGCCAGATGAAAGCCCGATGTTTGGGAGTCTGTCATAGTCTAAATGCCACTGCGAGTGGGGTTAATTTAAGTACCAACTGTTTCTGGCATAAAAGAAGCACTAAAGTCTGGACAGAAATATATACAAAATAGTCCACAGTCAAATTGAATTAGTTTGTACATATAAATGGGATAAAATATGACAACAAGGATATAATGAAACATAACTATAAACAATAAAATTTAAGAAAAAGTATTGGGAGTAATTTCACAATTTATAAATATAAATTATCGTTATTTGTGTAAAAGAGAGGACATTTCACCTGGAAGCTGGAAGGTGTCTATATGCTTATATTCTTCTGTAGAAGCGTTCCTAAATAACTATCCCTAAACTATCAACTCTTGTATCCTGAACCTTAAATGCCTGCTGACTGGCTGCATAGTTAACATTGCCCCCTCAGAGTTTGTGCCACTGACAGCAATTGACTGTCTAAGTATCTCCTACTGGCTGCAGCTTTGCCCCTTCACCTCAGCCTCTTTATCTTTCGCTTTGTATGGGACGCGAATGCCAAAGAAGGATGCCAGCCTGTGTGTTTTCTGTGGGCTGTGGGAGGACAGTAAGTACTTATAGTGTATACTTACAGCCAAAAGTAAAACTGGACCGGCAACAATGCCACAAGATTGCTGTGTGGCCAACGAGGCGAGTTGCCAGGATCATCTGCATACGAGTAAGCGAGTGTATATATGTGTGTGTGTGTGTGTGTGTGTGTGGTGCATGGCACAAAGGAGTCGCTGTCCCAAAGCAAACCGCACTCATGCGGTGTGGCTATAGCTTTAAGCTCTACCCGCTCATCTACCCGCGCCCGTTCTTGAGAAATATTGCTATGCAAATATTTGTATTGCATACTTTGGGGCACGCGGCAGAACCCGTCGCGAGAGGGGATCCCCCGCCGCGGCGGGAAATTCACAGCTTATGGCGGCTAACAAGTAGGAAAAAAAAAGAAGAAACAACAGACAACTAGAAGAGATAAGCTCACCGAGTCGAGGTACAAAAGCCGGAATCCAGACGTCGTCTCAATCCAGTTAGCTTCGCCATGTCTCAGGCCACAAAGGTGCTAGTGTTTCTACTCTTAGTCGTGGGTATTCTAGCCTACAATGTGCCCCAAGCCACCGTCAAGGTCAATTCGCCGCAGGGCTTTGAAGTCTCCATACCCGACGAACCTGGAATCTCGCTATTCGCCTTCCATGGCAAGGTCAACGAGGAGATGGACGATCTGTCCGATCAGACCTGGGCAGCGGATATAGTGAGTTCCCGGAACGGTCGCTGGACATATCGGAACCGGCACCATCGACTGCAGCCCGGCGATGTGCTCTACTATTGGACAACGGCAAGGTATCATGGCATCGACTATCACAACTATAACCAGCGATATGTAGTCGGTGCTGGCGGAGATTCCCAGAGGATCGATGTGCATGGCTCCAATGGCGGACACCTTCCCATTGTGGCCTCTGGTCACAATACGATCAATATACATGTACATTAAACTAAGTGTGAATGAAGTATAATTGAGATTAGAAATTAAATCCACTTTTATCTGTTATAAATTTCATTTGTGATTTAATATTAAACCCAAACTATTGACAGCTTTGATGAAAAAATAAGTGGCCCAATTGCAACAAAATATTTCAATGCACAAGCCTGGTTTTATTTTTCATGCTTGCCTTTAAGGGCTATAAATCAAAGAGGCACTTTGTCACAGATATGCAGGTAAGCATCCGGATCGTATAAATCATGCTGGAAAGTTCCCGCACCTCCGCTCATCAGGCATAGAGACACCCAAAAATGGCAGCCATATATTCCAGCGACGATGGCATCAAACAAGCAAAAAAAGAAATGCACCACAAAATCTGGAAAGGTACGAAACTATAGCCTTCCATAAACAACTGCATAAAAGGTTACTCTTGGACCATTTAACTTTCCCTTAAGGCCAACAAAAAGCAGATAAAACTTTTTGCCATCTTAGTTTCAGTTCAATTTGCCCTTGGTCCTGCTCTTACTCCTCCTGCTCCTGGTTATTTGGAAGTTTTTTGGTTGTGAGCGTGTTGAAAGGTTGTCCCTGGATATAACCAAAAAGATGCAAGCGATTTAATCGACTTGAAATTGGCCTGATTAGAGTTTAGAATTATATGCTTGGTTTTGCCTTTAAAATGTAAAGATAATAAGTTCTGAATAACAAGAAAGGGACTTACAAAATATGGAATTAGATTAGGAATTAACCCGTATTGATGTCAGATGTTTATGAAAGCTGCCGACAGATAATAATTATAAAAAATAAACACGTATGTAAATACTCATTAACTAACATCTTTCACCTTAAGAACCAGTTTCTCTTTTAAAAGCAATTAACTAAAATTGTCATTTAAATCATAGTTGGCAATGCATAAGTAAATCAGCATCTTATTAGCTCTATGTGTTTAATAAATTTTGATAAATTTACTGAAGACAAGTGATTATTTTTTTAATAGACTTTGTATATGAAATTTAATATTATTTTCTTACAAACCCTCGATCCGGTCCTGAAGCCTACTGCTTTGTGTTAGTCCACCGTTCGCTTGACCTGGCTCGCTGACCGCTTTCAGCCAAGAAAGTTGAGCCTGAACAGAAGCCGAGAAATTAGAAAATTATATAATGTAGCAGGGGTACTTGGGGTGGTAGCCATAATGCTGAAATAAAAAATCATAAATACATTATTATATGCCTGGTCAGCCCATTTGTCTCCACTCATTTTGTGCTGGGTGTTGAGGCATGATGAGGTGACTGCACTTTTTCGCATTCGGACGTGCACACACACACACACATATACACCCATTCATATGTACATAAGAGTCCTGGGTGTATCTGCGGACTAAGTGACGCTGTCAGCAACATTTGCGAGCTGTGTGCTCGCTGCTCTCATTTTCCCATTTGGCTCCGCGCAAACTGCCAGCCAGCGGCAAGATTGTGGCAGTTGCACTTGCACTTCCACATACACCCGCTCCACGCTCCACCTCTGCACCATCTGCCGTCCACCACAGACTCATGCTTCATTTACCGCCCCCAAATATACACACCCACACACACACACCCACACATGTTGGCCAACGTTTTTCACCTGGCAGGCGCTAAAATGACTTGTGACGACAGCTTAATGCGGCAAGTAGGGGAAGAAAAATATATATTTAAGTCCACACAAACGCACCTCACACTTTTCCATATAAGCTTCAAGTGGAGAGCACTTAATGTTCTACTTAAGCTTCTAATGTTTGTCGTAGCCATGATTTTTTTTATTTAATGTCCTTACTTTATTATTTAATTCTTTAAAAAAGTGTGAACTTTTATGTGTTTATTTCTAAATAGTTTTATTCAATAGAATCTTGAATATGACTTAAAGTGTATACTGTAATGGAATTAAATAGCTTTCCATGTCTCCCTCTTTCTTTATCTCTCTCTCTCTCTCTCTCTCTCTCTCTATCTATCTCTCTCTCTCTTAATTTGGCATGTCTCTCTAGAGATATCTCCTACTCTCTTGCTCTAACTTTCTCTGTTCTTCTCTATTCTGGGTACTATAAATACAAGCCCTAACATCGCACTTACCTCATTCTGTCCGCGGTCTTCCCACGGTTTACATCTATAGTGATATTGGTAGATATAATGATTTCAATGAATGTAACATCATTTAAAATTGTAAATAATTCATAGTATTCTTAATTTTACATTTAAACCCATCATTCAATGAGTAACTGCAAGGGTATTCATACATACATCGACTTCTTGAACCCTCCATTATTTTGTTTTTGCTAACTTTATTCTTTTAAAATCATTAAAATATTTCTTATTTTTAAAATAATTTTATTTAATAGAACCAGAAATTTGACTTCAAGTTTACAGTGTCATTCAATGTCTCTTATTTAACTGGTTATAAATTGTTTACTTAAGAGGTTCTGAGATGTGGATCCTACTGATGAGACAGTTCGTGCATCCTCTTTAGATATTAAGTTGTCTTTAAGTTCTTTACTCTGAATAGGACTTTTATTTCCGATTCAAATTATGTTTTCAGTGGTAGAAGAGATAAAAGGACCTCCAGTACTACTGCCACTGATTAGATCACTTTCACTTTCTCCTTTGTCGGTTTCACCTTCTTTCCCTTGGTAACTTCCAAATGGACCTCCAGTATTTTTCCCAGAAATAAGTCCTCCATGAATATTACCAATGATAAATGGACCTCCAGTATTTTTGCCACTGATCAGACCATTTTCACTCTGACTACAAGGTCCTCCATTGCCAGTTATAAAGGGGTTTGTTCGTTTTCCAAATGGACCTCCTGTATTTCCTCCAGAAATGAGTCCCTCTTGCTGAGAACCAGACACAAAAGGACCTCCGGTATTTCTGCCACTGAACAGACCACTTTCCCTTTGACTAAAAGGTCCGCCTTTGCCAGTTTCAGCAACCAAAGAGTCTTTTCCGTGATAGCTTCCGAAGGGACCTCCACTAGCTCCTCCTGAGATGAGTCCTCCTTGATGATTACCAGTGATAAAAGGACCTCTGGTATTACTGCCGCTGATCAGACCACTTTCAGCCTGACGAAAAGGTCCTCCTTGACCAGTTCCAGTTATCAAGCCATCTTTTCCTTCATAGCTTCCAAATGGACCGCCACTTACTCCTCCAGTAACTAATCCACCTTGCTGACCACTTCCACCTTGAGCAAAAGGTCCACCACTCTGGGCACCACGTATCAAGCCGCCGTTGAAGGCCTCAGCAGGTCCGTAGTTTCGGTAAACAAGTTGCGCCGAACTTGAACCAAGTATGAGCAGCATCACAGCAAATAGCGAACTCATTGTAAACCCCGCCAATCGATGACTGATCTTGCTAAGTGATTTGCCATCTGGTTTTTACTAAGCTCAGTCAGCCGAAATAGAGGGAAAACAAACAAAATTAGACAGAGCGAAAAATAGCAGAGCGAAATATGCCAAACAAAAAATAGAAAACCAACATCATAAGTCAGATAAGAAATCACTCAAAAGATGACGTCGATCCAAGATCGGAGCGTCTCTCAGCATATTCCCAAGCTTTAAGTAAGCATTCGTGTTTGGACATTAAATTAGTGACAATAATATTCTCAGATTATACAATCTTTGTGAGCTCTATTCTTGTCTACTCAAAACAATGCATATTAACCTTTGAATATTTTAAAATTTGTATTTAACAGTTTTTTATTTAATATATAAAACTTCACCATCTATGACAGCTCTTAGTAAAATAGGCCAAACATTTTCAAAATTATTAACCTCTTTCACCTGTCTAATCTCGTGTTGAGGGAAAGGGTTTTCCTTCCCTTTCCCTACATGCGTATGAGCATGTCCCATCCAATCGACCCCCATAAATTGCAGTCGGAAAACTTAAAGACACCGAAAGCGCCCAAAAGAAAATGTTACTTTCGCCCATGAATATAAATATGTTACGTGTCCGGGGCTGAAACTATTTCAAGAAAATGCGGGCATCCTCTAATGGGAAAAATATGAAGCCGCCAGCGGAGCCTGCGGGCCGCGCTCCGTGAGACGAGAGTAAAAAAGAGCCGACAGAGTGGCAAATTAATTATAAAAGATTCCGCTGCCACCAAGTTAAATATTTTTGCTCAACTTCGGTTCAAACTGTGGGCGGACATGGGGCGTGGCCGTGGAAAATAAGTTGCCAGTAACTTGACGCACATTTGTCAGGGTTTTCCATTCCATGAAAAAGGGGTTACTGGGGAGGAATGGTGCGAGTCTACAGGTGTCTTTTCACCAGCGGAGAGAGTGGAATTTACAAAAGGCGTCGGTGTATGTATGTGGGTGGGCCTGATATATGGCTCTTTGAAATTAGTCCAAGTGCAAAATGTCCTGAAAGGAATAAAAAATTGAGCAAAATGGAGAATAATTGCATAACTTTGTCAGACTGTTGTCGATGGGAGTTCTTTCCATGTTTATATACAACCTGAAATGGAAAATCATGGCCTTTACATTATATATTTATATAGAATTTGCCGATATTATATTCATATTTACTCAGGGTTTAACTTTCAAGTTCCACAAAGCCTTACCCATAGTGAAAACCTGTCTGAATATCCGATAAGGAGGTAACTATCATCGAAGCCCATCAAATTAGATGCTAATTTATTAGCTATTGGCTCAAAGTGGTTGAATAAACTGTCCTAAAGCAGCTATATCTAAGCCACTCTATCACTTAACAACTACATTAGGCGGCGCGTAGATAAATTTGCATCTGCAAAATGTAATTTGCGGCCTAAACATTTGAAAACACTTCTGGTTTCTGGCCCTGGATCATAACATATGTGCGAATATATATATATATATCTATGTATATATACTCTTCGGTTGTGTACTCAATTAGCATTAATGAATCCTCATCCTCTTGCGGGTAATGCCTATAAAGCTCGCCTCAATAATTGAATTAATGACGCTCACTTGGCCCAAAGTCGTTGTTTACTTATTAGGCTAATTGTGTTCATTAAGGCCACCTGCCTATGTGCAAGTACTTTAAAACTCGAGATTGTTGCCATCTTCGATTGATCAAATGCACTTTCCGTGTATTGAGCTCTCCCTGCCCCTCTCCCTCTCTCTCTCTAGTGCTGCTCCAACAATGGTCCACGTCGCAAGTCACCTGCAGCAGCACGACATCGTCGTCTGCATTTCAAAATCACACACAAAACATTTGCCAAATGCGAAAATGCAGTCAAAGTCGTGCAATATGCAGTGCCACCTAGGTAGCTCACCACTAGAGCAACCCTGAAGGCTATACACTGGCAGAAAATAGGATAAAGAAATGTATAATTTAGAAAACTATCAAGGACCTTTTTGAGAATGAGCCTTGTGGGATTTATCGTTTGTATGAAAGCTTCTACAACATTATTTCTTAATATTTATTGAGTCATCTTTTTGCATTTATAAAATTAACTTAGCTTCTTAATACCTATCTATCTCTTATATTATATATTATTATTATGTGATCCCTTACAGGTTTTTAAAAACTTCGAAATCTAAAAGTAGTTAGGCGTTTTAAATATAAAAATAAAAATGTTAACGAAATATTGTAGATATTCACTAAAATATTGTTTGTAAATCGAGATAAAGGTGTTCATTCTGTGCCACAGAAATTGCTGTTCATCTTTAAATATAATTAAATAATTATATAATTATGCAATTAATTCAATTAAGTATGTAACAAAACATAAATCCATCCTTTTAAAATTAGATCTCAACATTATTTAATATTTTCCAAAAACTCAAGGATATATTTATCTCAGTGTAAGGGGATCCCCCACAGAACAATCTTTTTTTGTGCTTGTTCAGTCAGCCGTTGATATAGACATTGTTGGCAAGGGGAAAAGGGACAAAAACACAGAGAGAAAGAGGGAAAGAGGAAATTCCACTGCTATTTTCTAGCTTTGCTCTGTGGCAATGATTTTGTTGTTGCTGTCGGTGCTAACTCTGTGCAATTGTTGTTATATTTAGCATCGCAGACGCAATTTATATAAAGTTTAATTGATTGGAAAATCAAATCGATTCGATTCGCACTGCAGCAGCAGCAGCAGCATCAGCAGCGGCACCAACAACACAGACACGCATTTGCCTTTGACCGAGCGCAGATTGTAAGGGGAATCCCCTGGCCCACATCCATGGCTCAGGCTTTCAGCCGTATTTCAGACCCAAAGTCGTTTATCTTGCCGCTGTTTGGATACATTTCTGATCTCGGTTTTGCAGTTGGCCCAATGTTGGACACACATAAGCACATTAAAGATTGAAGGATGGGAGCAATAAAAGACAAAGAAACCCATTGTGGTTGAATTAAGCTTCTTAACCTGGACACGACAGCCGGAATTCAATTACATCCTTAACGCGCCAGAACAATGCTATAAATAATTCAACAAGTAAGTCAATTTAAAGTTACAACTTTCCCTTTTATGGCAGAGCGGGAAAATGGCCTTGTTAAGCGGAAAAACTTTACACGATGCGGACAAAGGAAACACTAATAAGCTAAATATGAAATAGAAAATGCAAATTGATTGAAAATAAAGCAATATAAAATTATTGATGCATCAAATTAGAGTTTAAACACCCAGGAAATGATAAATATATGAAAAATGAATTAAACCAAAATATATTTATGTAAATAGTTCATTATTTAGGCCAAATAGTACGATAACTTTGGGCTAAGCTCCTACGATTACGGAAATGTGTTTAGAAATCAGTTTAAATAATTTAAAACCTATACAATTGATAAGCTTAACATATCAAACTGTAAAATTAAAATACCTTACTCACTAATTAACATAAAAATCAATAACTAAACAGTTTATTAGCGGTCAGTTTCAAGTATCAGATATTAAAAGTAATAGAATTTTAAGGACTGCAATAATTTGCACTCCGTGCTAATTAACTCTTCCCCGCCATAATAGTGCTACTTCCGGTTGATGGCATTTTATTTTCCACTTAACAATTGCTTTATTTCACCCAGATAAACTCCATTCTCCCCCTAGTCTCGGACTTATCCCGATCCACACCCACCCAACGACAAAGCACTTGTCATTAACAAAACAGCGCAATACCTGTTTAATTTCTATTGTGAAACTTGGCACTGCGAGAGCTTAACTTTTCTTTTCGATGCACCACCAGCCACGCCCACTGCCCATGGCTGATGTCACTGGCCGGGTCCTGAGAGTGAGCAGTTCGACGATATGTTTAATGGCAGCTACAATGGAAAAACTTTTACGTATAGCAAAGCAATTCAATTGAAAATAATTAGAAACGTAGCCACATGGCGAAACTTCTTAATTGCCCGACTATTGTGCGTCTACACTGAAGAAAGGGTATCAACTTTACAACTACCATCACTATAGATTTAAATATAAATAAATATAACTCTTAAGTTAATATATATGCAAGAAATACTGGACAGGTAAGAACTGTCAAGCTAAAGTGTAATAAATCCGATTGAAGCCAGGCATAGCTTTCTCCAACTGTACGTGACAATGAGAGGGGGGGTGGAGGAGGATGGAGCAGAGATTGACCGAGAATTGAAAGAGTGCAAGAGACAGCAAATTGCATTATGCATAATGCCCGTTGAGCTTGAGCTTGAGCCATTATCGAACCCCCCTCCACGTAGAAGGGGAAGAGAGGGAAGCGAGGGAGCAAGAGACTCTGGCCATTCAAGAGAAACAAATCCACTGAGCGACAGAGAGAGGAGAGTGACTTGGCGATAGGAGCCGTGTGTATAAAACAAGTGCGTATATATAACGTTGTCTCATTTGGAACTCCTCGCCTTGACCATGCACCTCAGTCAGCATATCGCGGTGCTCTTTCTCTGGCTCTGCTTCGCCCTCATCAGCAGCGGTGAGTGACGTCGCCCACCTATTTATATTTTATATGTAGATTGAGCTTCTAGGGTTTTAATCTTCAATTTATGTTTACTCCCAAAAGGGCACGCCAAGCCGTGGAAATGGGGTCCAGCCTCGAATAGCGGCCCCATTGGCGGTCCCGCCTGGAACGGCGGCAATGACGAGTCCACCGATAACATAATCATCCATTCCAATGGCGGCGGCAACCGCGGCAACGGAGGCGGCGGCAAGTGGCGTTACTAACTTCGCCCCAGTGGGAGGCGTGACCAACGAGGTGTATTTTCCAGTAACTCTATGAATAACACTGCAATTACTTTGTTTTCAAGTAGATTTCTAAGAACTGACGCACGATTATACACCTCTCATTGTCATAGTCTTACAAATATGCATATATCAACCTTGGAATGATTTAAAACCCAATAAATACTCACAAGAATATTCATAGAATCACATAACGAATTAAAATATATTCTACTTTTCATTTTCTGTTTACTATGTCTATGATAACAAAAGTTTCGATCAAAATGCAGCATTAAAGCTTTGCTTAAAGTTTTCTATTATTTTTAGGTATATTGTGTGATTTTCTTATACTAATTACTATATGTTGAGAACATAGGTTGTATAAGGATTAATTGGACCAATCTTTTCTAAACCTTTGTCTTCTTTAAATTGTTTCTTTTATAGTTAGGAAATTTGAAAACAAAATAAAATAGTATTACAGATAGTAGGATATCAAGTGCATGAATCTATAATCGACATGTTTTCCCATCTTTAAATCTGATATAAGCTATAAACTGACAATCACTGAAGTTCAATATTAAAGTGATATCTTTTATATTTGGTATAGGTTTAGATGGAAAAGTGATCTTTTGATGAAAGTAGCTTTATCATGGGTCTTCTAAAGTATTAGTAGATAATAGATATATTTTTCTCAAAGTATTTGGCTTAAAAAAGCGTATTCTCCTAAAGGTTCTCTGACAGCTATTAGATATAGTGTCCAGTATTTTTTGAAAATTTAGATAGTGGCATGTTCTTTTAAGTAGATTCAAGAAAGATCTGACAAAAGATCGCAAAGCTTATAAGTATCCCCTAATTCAGAATTGGGCTCCAATCTTGACCATTAAAATCCAGAACAAAAATCAATCTTAAAGTCATCAGCCTGGCATTATCAACAACCAATTAAAAAAATCAAATGTCATCCGTAGTCATGTAGTCCTCAAGCGTGGATTGCCCCCAAAAATTGTGCTGATTTTGTTTACACTTAAAACCACAAATCTTTTACAATAAATTGCAAAGGCTTTGTTCAGGGAACACCTGTAATTGCAACGATCAGGACGTCTGTGTCGATCTTTTGCCCTCTCAAGGTATATATAATCTAGTATCTGTTTCCCGAGACGATAGACCTAGGCGTCACAGGGTTCATTGATAAGGCGAAATACTCGTTTTGTGGTGTTGAGCTGGGAATTTCTCAGACTCGCCATATGCGACGTCAAAACAAAGTCGGCGCGGCACGTGCTTTAGTATGTGAATTTTTTGCAGTACAGTGTGAAAACATTGCAGCCCGCCCATCTGTCCGGTTTATGGCTAACGTGCATAACACTGGTACTAACTAAAACTTAAAAGCTATATCGCGTTGACACGCTTCGCTCTCTCGATTAGCCAAAAATCAATAAAAATCGAGTGTAGCTTGGCGAATCGGTGACTCAATGCCTTGTGTTCCGCTCAACCGCAAGTAAACAAAACAAACTCGTCGCTGGCAATTCCCCAACAAATGCACCGCTCCTGACCTCCTCCCCTGTGTTATCGCCCAAAGTGGGAGAGGATCGGAGCTGGTAGAATATATAGAACGACGTGATGATCCGATCTTGCCTGCACTCGTATAAATAGCTCACACTTGACTTGGCCCTCGTATAGTCAATGCGAAATGGGCTCGAGCACTGGTAGTTGGATCTTACTGGGCCTGGTGGCCACTGTCGTCGCTCTGGCTAGCGGTAAATATATATATATAAACTATTATATCCATAAAATTAAGATTTTACAAAGTGCTACAGTCAATAGCGAAGCCAATTCTGAGACAGATATCATATAGATTTCTAATATCAGCTGACAGTTACATGCTATAAATCTTGATGGAAATTCCAACTCAATATAGTTGTATAATCCTTTAAGATCTGGTCTGATCTGATCTACTTATTAAGTGAAATAATAATGACAGAATTATAATTCCATTTACAGCTGCTAATATTCAGCACAGCGATGGCCAGTCGATTGTCCAAAACAATGGAAACACTTTTCTGTCCAATGGAGCTGGGCAAATCATCCGCCGATCCGATGGTAAAACCGTCCTAATCGGTTCTAATGGCAACCAGATTGTCACCAGTGACGAAGATGACTCTCTGGATGTTGATAGTTCCAGCGGTGGAAATCACAACAGCAACAACATCATCATCAATGGACAGAGCACCATGATTCAGAACGATGGCAAAAGCTTTATCTACGGCAATGGCAGAGACGGAAGTTATATCAACAGCAATGGGCGCACTGTGCGGATCATAGATGGAGGTATTGAGCTCAATGAACATGGACAGGTCTATAACTTCCGGCCCAAGGCAAGGACTGGGAATCAAAAGGAAACCATAATTGTCAACGGCCAGCCGGCCCAGGTGGAGTACTCCAATGGTGATATAATTGTCGAGCTGGCAGATCACACGGTGATCGCTAAAGTGGGTGATCGTACCTTCCTGGGGGATCGGCACTCCTTCGATAATCGCGACAAGCTGGAGGCAGAGGCCAAGAACCATGCCCACCAAATCCAGAAAGAGGTGCATGAAAGTATCAAGAAGTCGATGGACGACCTCCATGCCCAGCTCAAGAACACTTTTGGCAATCTCTTTACCTAAAGGGGGAAAATGTATCAAAGTGTACGAGGGTCGCTCGAATAAAGCGAATTTGCAGCATTTATCTTGGCTAGTCGTCTTTACATCTTTTCTTTTTATGAAAAACTTGGCATTTTCCTAGCCATGAGAAGCTATTGTTGTTGTCGCTGGGCAAATGCTAATTTCGTAGCCAACTTGTGCTGGTTTCTCGTCAATAATCTCTTGATTCGCACAACCTGCGGCCCCAATTGTGTGTGTCAATTACATGGAATTGCCGCACAGCTTAACATAAGTTATGTGATTGATTAGCGGGAAATTCGCCGGACCGTGGTCTTGGGACGCTGTTAATTCTAACGCTTAGTTGGGCAGCCCAGACAGCTTGGCCCGTGGGCGGATGGGAATACATTAGCCGGGTGGTGGCGTAATATCTGTGCCCAGTTTCCAGTTCCCAGTATTTAGACAATTGACCCGGCATCATGGGGTGTCATGCCTGTTATAATATTTAAAAGCTAATTCAACGTGCTTGATCTTTTGATCCTATAAATTGGATTACACTTTAGATTTAGCAAAAGTTGCAAAGAATCAACGAATGCAATTCCAGGGTAGATATTTGAATACGTAAATAAGGTAAGCCTTAATCCTATAATATATACATTTGATATACATATAGGGTTTCTGTAGATCTACTTAGATGGAATGAAGGATTAGATAATACTAAAATACCTAATATCAATTGAATTCATATGCAAAGAAGAACTTTACGTGACTCACAGACGTGTCACAATAACTTTTAGGAATTGTTTCATGCTTAATAAACTTAAATTAAGTAAGTCACGATTCCGGGGTGTTTTCTAGTTTTCACTACATGATTTGAAAACAATTGTGACACCTTGACCCTCTGTGCTCTATATCCATCGTTTCACTTTTTTCGCCTATTTAACGTTGCTACTTTGACCCACATAAAATGTATCGACTTTGTACCTGTCAAAGTGTAATTCGATTAAAAGTTCGCACTACCTTAAAACCAAGTAGATTTTGGGAAAATTCCTTGAATTTATGTTATTATAGCAATGCTGTTGTACATGTGTGAAAATTGCATTGCATAGAACATACTTCAAATATCTCCAGCAAACAATTAAATAAGAAAACCCAACAAGGAAATAAAAGTTCAACAAAATTATTACAGCAAGTGGTAGGTAACAACGTTATACATTTTATCTCAGTAAAATAATCTTGACAGTTTTTACAATCCCAGGTTATTTTGCAGATTTTCAGACTCTTAAACGGCAACCCGTGTCGATGACAAAAACCTTATCAATGAGAAAACCCAAAAAATGAGCTTTTCTCTGACCAAAGAGCAGGTGTCCGCCTGGCGGACCAACTTCTACAATTCGCCGCATAATTGCCTGGCCCAGAATGTGTGTTCATCCCACGATCCCATGCAGATGGCCCTCAATGCTCCGGTGGTTCAGAACTCCCTGGGATCGGGCGTGAAATCGTGGCATATGGCAACTGGGCCAGGAAAAGCGACCACTGGCGGTCCCGGATGGATTTGCACAGGCTTGGATATGCTACGACTGGCAATGGATAAACAGATTCCCCTGCCCGTGGATTTTGAATTCTCCGCCAGTCATTTGGTCTTCTACCACAAATTGGAGCGTTGCAATTACTTTCTGATAAATGTATGCAAACTGCTGGAGTCAGGTGAGGCTCTGGAAGGACGGTTGTTCCAACACCTGCTGAAGAACGCAGTGCCGGACGGTGGAAACTTTGACATGTTCAGGAATCTGGTCAAAAAGTATGGTATTATGCCTCGATCATGTTACCTGCACAACACCAGTTCGATTGCCCAAGTCAACAAGATATTGAGGAGCAAGGTGCGTATGCTAGTAATACTATATATTTTATATAATACGATTTATAAACTTTACTTTCCCACAGCTCCGAGAGTACGCTTGTCGTCTTCACCAACAGTTCACTCTCGAAGGTGACAGCAAAAGCCTACCCGAAATCATTAAGGGCATGCTCCCAAATCTCTACAACGTTCTGGTCATCTGCCTGGGGGAGCCGCCTGTGGAATTTACCTGGGAGTTCCTTGACCAAAAGAAACGCTACCAGTGTTTGATGAACATAAATTCGGTGAATTTATATGATGTGATTGTAGGACCCACCTTTAAGCTTGATTCTTGCGTTTCCCTGGCTCACGATCCGCGAGAGACCTCTAGCTATAACACCAACTACAAAGTCGCACACAGTTCCAACATGGTTGGGACGAAGGACCACATTTACAACAACCAACCCATGGATGTGATAATGAAGATCATAGCGGACGCTCTGAATGGCGGAAGTACAGTGTGGCTGGGCTGTGACCTTCGCCATCGGTTCAAGGCCAAGCCTCTTGCTTTGAGCCTCGAAACCTATAAGCTTGATATGGTCTTTGGCCTTGATGTGGGCAAAACGCTTACGAAAGCAGAGAGACTCATGTACAAGGACTCACGCCAGGATTCGACCTTACTTCTGACGGGGATAGGATTGGATTCTACGGAGCAGCTTGTACAATTCAGCACCATTACGGCATCGGCTGTGGGCAAGGATGCGATAGCGAAGAACAAGATCTTCACTATTGACGCAGATTGGTTGAGGGAATACGCCTTCGAGATTGTGGTTAACAAAAAATTTGTTCCAAAGGATGTTCTTGATGCCGCCAAATTATCAGACGTTATGCCACTGCCTCCTTGGGATCCCATGGGAGCCTTGTATGCGTAGTACGAGTATTTTATACCGAAAAGTATACTTTAAGTAGATTGATTGCCAAAATCCTGCCAAAACTGCTTAGATTGAACTCTACAAATTATTTTGTATAACTCTCGACTTTGGCTTGATTTCAAGAACTTGTAAAATAAAACTCTTTGACAGATGTAAAGCTATTCCCATCAAGTACTTAAAGTGGCTCAAACTGATGTCTCCCATCTTGTATAAAATTATTTAAAAATCCCCCAATGTTGCCGCCTTTTGAGGCAGTTCTTGTCATCGTCACCGAGGCGCGACCTTCACTAAGTTTTTCGGGAATCGGTCCTACGTGCCCGGCATGCCTAATTAGGCATTAGAGAGTTGCCAAGGAGTCCTGCTGATGGTTGGAGTAGCCAGCAAGACGGCAACTGTTTTCGTCTTAAGGGATTTACGCTAAGGAATTCGACTTTGCGAATAATAAAAACAACAGCATTTATCTTTGACTTTAAGGCCATGTCTTTATTTTATTAAATTTGCATCGATTAAATCTTTAAAATCTGGTAGCTAGGACAGAAGTGAGTCTGGTTTTAATACTGAATTCTGAATTAATTCCCTGCACTTCTTGAAAAAAAATCAAATGAACACTTTTAATAAACTTAAAGTCCAGTCATATTTATTTATAAAAATACTCTAGAAGTACATCTTAAGGTATCACGCTACCAATATTTGCCAGATCTGCCCTCGTTGTAGTACGGATAGGGTGCCCCGTATCCAGGATATGCTCCAGGATACTGCCTGGGATACGCTCCTGGGCTCACAATAATGGGCTGCAGGACCACGGGCTTCGGGTACAGGAGTTTGCTCAGAAGATGACGAGGCCGGCGAATGCTGTTAGAGTCCTGGTCTGCTGATGGCGATTCATCCGCGGATCCCTCATCTGCCGGACTGGCCAGTGCAAGAGCATGCTGGCCACCAGTTGGCACAGCAGCATCTGCATCGTGGTTATCAGGAAATGCCACCACCATCGCAATGGTGAGGATGCACATCAGAAGAACGGCAACGAATTTCATCTCAAGGCGGGTGCTACGATGTGTTGTCGATTTTGAACTGATTTGTTTTCAGTCCTACCTTTCCTTATATAGGCAGCCCAGGTAGTCGAGTGAAACCTTTCTACCTGTCCTTCCACAGGAGGATTATGACCCTTCATCCCCTCTACAGCTGCAACAGGTAGTAATTATCTAGCTACATTTTCCCAGAACTATTAAGTACCATAAGGTTTTCCGGCTTAAGAAGATTTGTGTATGTTTTATGATTTTTGGAATGCTTGAAACGAGTTTTATTAGCTTCGATGTGGTTCCCATTTACATGCACAAACGCCCAACTGTATGCTATACATTCAACAACATTTTTGTTTAGTTAACGAACTGCGGGGGTACTGGCATACCCTCCGGTGGCGGGGGCAGGCCAGGTGGAGCCTGACGACGTTGCTGTTGGGGATAGATAGTCAAGTTTTATATTACCAATCAGTTGGTATTAAAAAGGAGTACGATCCATCCTTACCCTGAACTGTTTGGGCGGCGGCGGCGGCTCGTTGGCCACCAGCTTTTCGTCCAAGGCACTACGACGAGCCTGAGGAAGGAAATTATAAAGAATATAACTAAGCCAAATAAATAATCAGTTAAAACCCTACATAAATATAAACACTAGAAAAACGTAATGCAAATCTTAACCAAACTAGGAACCCATTTACACATCCTTACTCGGAGCTCGGAGGTGGTTTCATTCTTGGCGAATGACGGCTGGCCCAGAAGGAGGCATTTAACAAACCGTTCGATTAACACGGCTAAATTGTGAAGGCGCCGCCAGTGCTTCGCCTCCTCTGGATCGAGCTGCTGCATCTGCTCTGGCGCCTTATGGTTTTTAGGACCAAGAAATCTTAGGATTCATTGCCCTTTGGCTTAACCCTTTGCACTCACCCGCTTGAACAGCCCCACGAACTTGGGATCCTGAAAGGGAGGACGGAAACACAGGTTAAGTTCGCCAAAAGGTCACGACAAAACCACCGGATCTCACCTCCACTCCGTTTGTGGTGCCCCCGCCGCGTCCATCGACTCCGAAGAGGGTCAGAGCCACAACGTAAATAACCAAAACAAGGCAAAATAGCTTCATTTCCGAGCTGTCACGTTCCTACGGCTCACTAAAATGTTGAATGGTGGAAATGTCCGGGACACTTCGCTCCGCTGATGCTGTACGGTTCGGTGGCATTGCTACTTCTTTATATACCCGATAATTCCGCCCCGGGGGATTGCATTTAATTGGCTTGTTGGGAGCGTTATCCGGAATCTTGTAAAGTTGCGGCCGATACATGGCCGGCGATAAGGAAAACATGTTAATTGGATATGCAATAGTCATATTTACAGATGCATCTTGCAGATACAACGGAAAAAAACACAATGTTGCCGCATCGAATAATATAAAATTATGGCATGATCCGGTGATTCTACTCCGATACAGGGAGATTATAGGTTACCTTAAATTGGTCAATTTTGGTGTTGCTTGTTAATGAAACCCAATTCCGATTCGACATTTCATTAATAACTATAATTAAGTGTTTTTAAAAGTAACTTATAATTCCAGTACGATTCAAACTTGCAAACTGTACTTAAGAACTCTTAAGTTTTCAGAAAAACCAATCATTAAAGAATAGAAAGGTGGAACTTGAGTAGTAGAAAGTAATTTATATAGAGAAAGTAGTTTTTAAATTGCATTGACTCATTCTAATTAAAAATTAGGAACATTTAGTTTAGTTAATGTAAATCTTTATATAAAGTCTTTACTTTAAGGGACTAAAATATAAAAGTTTTCCGAATTAAAATGATTGGTTTTGTAGCTTAGTTATGAGTTTTTTAAACTTTGCTTATTCGAATAAATTTTCATTTAAAAATATTGATAAATATGTATTCAAATAATAAAAATTTTTAAGCTTATTTATAATCGTTTTCCGATTCGATCATAAAATTTAATTGTAAACTGCTAGGATTTTCATTAAACGTAAATTGCCTTTGAAAAGTGTCACCTATTTTTAAAAGTGTAACAATTAGATTGCATGCAGCGAAGGTGTCGCAGCAAATTCGCTTTACAGGTGCAATCTCCGTGTTTCGTTGCCGTTACCTTTATTTACACCGTTGCCGTTACAACGTTACGCAACAATCTGCTTCCTCTCCAGCATCCTCCAACCGCCATTCTCCGCTTCCGCACCGACGGAAGACAAATGATTCTGCGTCTCGCGCTATTTTTCATTATTTCCGCTTGTAAACGCCACAATGCGTCCACGTTTGCTAAGCTTTGCATAATTCCGAATTATAACGCGCTTTGATGTCGCCGCCAGTGAAGAGACCGAAAGGATCTCTCTGCGTCTCTTTCCCTCTTTCCCTCCCTCTCTCTCTCTAGCTCCTATCAAGTCAAATAGAAGTGCAGGCGACAACGGGAAACTGTCAAGGAGGTGAAGGTGGAGTGGGCGGAAGGGATGAGGCGAAAAGAAAGTACAAAAATAAATAAGCGCACTTTTTTCTCATTTCCGTTGCTTACTTTGACGTGTTTAGTTTTTGATGTGCACACACACTCGCACACCCCGAGAGAGAGAGAGAGAGAGAGCAAGGCGAATGATTAAATTCGCCGCCAACATGGACAACGCTCCCCTACTTACTCCTTCGGGATATCCTTGCTCTCCCACTCTCCATCTTTATCTCAACTCTCTCTCCTCCTCTCTCTTTCTCTGTCTGTCTCTGTCGCCGGCGCTTCCTCTCTTTGTCTCTGTGGAAACTTTTCTCATTAGAAAACTTTTACTATTTCCGCTACTCAACGCCAAACGCAAACAACAAACGACAAAAATACGAAAAACATAAAAAAGTGCTACGCTCGAGAGACCGAAATGCGTAAATGTGTTGTAAATAAAATGTTTGATGCGCCTAAAGCTCCAAAAATGTATGTAGTACTTTGGCAAGTGCAATTGAAATACAGTAGAGTTTGAGAAATGGCAACCGGAAGTGATCTCAACCCAAATATCAACGGTTCGATATCCAGAGAAAAAATGTGGTAAATTCATGCTTGATATCAAATCGAAAATATATTAATAATAATCTTTAAAATCATGAAATATATATAGTATTTTTATTATTGAAATCGCAAGCTAAACAACAAAGTTGGGCTTGTGAAAATTTACGCCATACATCAAATTCTATTTCAATTTGTTACATACATTGAATTAAAGAAAACAAATAACGAAATCATCCTGCTCATAGATCTAACAACATCAATGTATCTATATCAAGAATATATATCAAATGTATCAACTACCAAATAGTTTTTGATTTAAATTTGATGGATATTAAATCCTCATCCGATTTCTGCGGCAACTGAATCGCTTTAAAAATGATCGTTAAAATATTATTAAAAGTTATCTAAGCTTTTAAAATCAAATTAAATAATGTCCCTACAACCAAACTTTAATCCCAAACACAGATCAGTATAGTAATATAATTGTTAACACTACAAACTATTTTTAAGCCAGTGTTTTGCGAGTGTAAAACTATTGAGCTGCGAGAATGGAGGCACCTAAAATTCGCTTTATTCAATTTGCAAGCCAAGCTGAAAATGCTGCTTGAAAATCAATAAATCAGTTTGCTCGGCAGCTTACCTCAGTTTCAATTCAATCAGATTTTGTTATTTGATTTTACCTTTGCCACCGCGTCCGCCTTCGCCTGCGGGTCACCCCCTCCGCTCCTCCTGAGGTACGCCCGCCTGCTCTTCCTTCTTCCGGTTTCCTGTGCTTGCAGCGCATTTCCTTCAAGTACTTCGCATTTGCTCTAATTTGATTTTGAGCGGCAGGCAGCTTCTTGGGCTGTCAACTGTCATCGCGAATTTGAAATGTTCCCCCGTTTTGAGTTGCAAATATTGATTTTGAAGCGAGTACTCCAGCTAGGCAGGAAGCTGAACTTACTAACTATAGGTTCTAGCTTAGTGCACAAGATCCAACTTAATGTCCCTGGATATATACACAAAGTTCTAAATGATCGTGAGCTACTAAAGCCAAATACTTATTTAGCTAAAAATAAAATATTAAAAGTATTATATAAGGTAACCGAAGGAGCATCAAACCTGCAGCTTCTCGATTATATATATATTTCTATAGTTATATTTACAAGTGGCATAATCAGTATTTAGCATTAGGCTAAAGGTTCTAACCTATCCACTTCGTTTAATCAGGCATTATAAATATTAACGATTTTATCAAGTTTTCCCTTATAGTATAAGGTGATTAATTAACAAGTATTTCAAATGATTTTAATAATTCCGGTTAAATGTATCATTAAAGGTGTAATTTTAAACAAAAACCGAAGTATTAAAACGGAATTACACAAAAACATCACAATTAGCACTCATTTAGATTTAAAATAACTAAAAACTGATAAGTTTTATAAGAACAATTGCAATAAATTCACATCGAAAGCCTATAAATACTCAATGCAGCGTAGGAATATTCACAGTCTGCGTCATCTATTTGCGTGTTGATCTTATTAGTTATATGTGTACAGGGGTGCTCAAAAGTATTTACACTCACAATAATTTTCATTGCCAAACTACTTTTAATTAATTTTCTTGGTGTTGTTAACCGATTTCCCTGAAACTTTAACTATCGTATAGATTGATCTATGCAGAAGCCAACAGAAAATAAAGAATTAAAACGAAAATAGTACAACGCTGAGTATATAAATAAGTTGTTCTGGCTAATTTTAAGTGTAAGATAATATTATTCATATATTAATACATTTTAAAATTGATTAACTATTTGTAATCACAAGTTCTTTTCATATGGTTCAAGTAGGCAATTGAAATTACGATAAATAGTTGGTATAAAAGCAGCATATTCATTTCAATTCACCATTACCACTTTAGTGGCATTAATGGGAGTGAAAAATTCAATTACCACCCTGGGCCATTAGTGGCCCATAGATTTGAAGCTGCCATTTAATGCGCCATAAGTAGCCAGTGAAATTAATGCCCGACTGCCCCAATTGACAAAGTGCCGGGCCCAGGCCGAGCCATTGCGCTAATGCAAAACATAAACCAGGCAGTCCAGTTGCAGGCAGCATTCAGAGGGCAGCCGGCAAACCCGGTGAAATGTGTTTTAGTTGTCGATGGATATTTCGCCCAGATACCCATGCCCAGATACCCAGATAGCCAGATACCCTTTCCCGGGGTAATAAGTTCAATAGCGCCATTTCAACTCCGGGTATGCTGCATCACGTCGCCGGCAAACGAGGGCATCACGAACCGGATAATGATCAACGAACTGTATACGTTTCCGCAATCGTAGTCAAATCGACAAACATGCACATAGAGTGCAGCGTCTGGTTCGACAGCTCCTCGGTGCAGTTCCTCCAGTTCCTGCGACTCCTCCTTCCTGCTGCTGCCGCAGATCCTTGCTGCTCCCACTGCTCCTTGCCGCTGTCACGGGGGACTACTCCGCATCGGAATGGCAATGGCATCAGAGGGCCAGGAGGAGCTTTAGAGATGTAGCCCAAGCAGCTTATGCCGCTTCGCTGAGCGACGCTAGTGCCAACAATCACACTGACTGAAAAATCGACCTCAAACTTAGCTAATAAAATACCTGATAGAGCAATAAATCTAAAATAATGTATTTTCTTTATAGTCTAAAGATAAACTTGAAATGATTCAAAAACAAAAATTTAAAGTAATCCAGAAACAATTTGTAAATGAATGTCAAAAATGATAATTGTTACCCCCACAATTCTTACAAATTATATACACTTTACAGAAAAGCAAACAACCTAAACCCACACAACAATCAAATTTAAATTTCTTTTAATTATACAATCTCTACATTTATTTCCCTCAAGTATGGATTGATTTCTTTCAGTGATCCTGGGGCTTCTAGGAGTTGTGCCCCTTCGCGTTGGAATATTTTGCATTATTGATAAACTGCTTTCCCGTAGTCGTCATCGTTGTCGCTGTCGAAGCAAGAAATAAGGCAGCGGCAAAGAATATTTATGACACCGCCATGCCCCAGCAAACACTGTAAAAAAATATACATGCATATGGACAAGAATTCGCATTGGAAGCCAGCGGAGCGGACAGATAGCTCAGCACGCCCCAAGGCTCGGAACGTGTCGGGCATTAAGCGTCGGAACGTGTGTAACAGGCTTCCTAAGGA